GACTGTGGGGGCGATATGCTGACTCTGTAAACCACTTAGAGAGGGCTGAGAGCCCTATGAAGCGGTATATAAGTCTAACTGCTATTGCTATTGCTATTTGTGATTTGTTTCTTGATGTATACCTGAGCAATCATATAGATGGGAATCTTTACCTTAACCTTTTGATATTACCTATCTTTTATTGGTACTATGACCCGGAAAATTCCTTTTTAGACTGACTATGTGTATCCTTCTCCCTGTTTTAGGTTAGTCTTCCCAATGACTCCAACTGTGTGGAAGAGATATTACGGGTAAGCTGGATTCTTTTCTGTCAAATGTATCATAGAATCTCCCTAGTAGGTTACGTAGCAGTTAGTTTAGAACTGTAATGATATGGTCAAGTCTCTGTTTATCTAGGTGATTTCAAGCTGAGTATCCTATTTCAGCTGGAGTAAGAGTGTGCATTGAACTTTGTGGAAGCATAGAAAAAAAGATAGAATCAATTCCATCCATTAGTAAAGCAAAATCATGCTTTGAGAGGTGGACTTTCAACAGCCAAAATAGTAACATCCATAACTCCTGCAGAAATATCAAGAAGTTGGGTGAAACCAGGTACTTGCAGCAACCTCAACACACACAAAAAAAAGATTAAGGGTTACAATTTGTATTCCTTATTCAAAAGCCACTTCAACTGAGTAACCTCAAACTAAAAATGGAGGTTGAAAGAAGGGGCCCAGAAATTAAGTAGACCATTCTGAAGGAGGTCCTTGTTGGTGGATCAAAGGTGTCCCATATTTGATGTAGTTTTCCATTCTATTACAATAAAGTTGTATCAGTCAGGTTAACCTTATTTACAGGTTCTCGCATATTCCTTACTCAAGGCCATATACATTGTTTTCATATGGAGATTTCTGTGAAAGACAAATCTCTTTGGGTCACTAAACCTGGTGTCTGTTCAATGTTGCAAGTCTGAGTGGCTTCTTCAGATGATAAAATGCTGTTGGGGTTCACCAGGTGAGGAACGGCAAGCAGACCTTCTCCTTTAGGGGTTGTCCTGATGTCTTCACTGAAGACCCAACTAGGACACAACCCTGCTTTGAAGCAGGAATTCTTCATCTGTACTTAAGATTTCCCCAAGAGAGACTTGGCCCCAACAAAGAGAAAATTAAACAGTAAAGTGGGGAAGGACTGGGGGGAAATCCGGGAAAAGTCACCAAAACGATAGAATCAAAAGGGAGAAAAAAGATTGGGAAGAAAAAATATGGAAATTACAAAAATAAGAAAAAGAAAAAGCTAGGTGAACGAGTGGAAAGAAGGGAAATTCCCAAGAGACCAAGAGAAAGTGGTTAGGAAAAGAGGAAAGGATTCTCTAGTAGAATAAATTGAAATATGTTAACATTGCCAATGATATATGTTAAAGTGATGTGAGGGAAATAGATGAATTCTATTAATTGTGGATAATTAACTAAGTGAAATGTTTATTATACAAAATTAAATCTGAGGTTATACGTTAAAAGTAGAATAAAAGATGGAAATGAAATGTTAAATTTGATTAATTTGGAGGGGCAAACAATGATATTGTTTATCTATAAATTAAACTGGAAAATATGGAAAGAAAATAATATGGCTGAAATTGAAAATGGCAATATGATGTAAAATGAACTATGCATATGAGAAAGATGTTAAGAGGGGAAACCGGGCAACGCTTTGTTTATAAAAGAAGTTAAAATATGTAACAAGAAAATAAAAAAGGCCCTTTGTTAAAAAGAAAAAAGATTTCCCCAAGAGCTTAAACTTGATTTTTGTGAGTTTGAGCTTTGTACGCACAGAGTTTTAGACTAATAGACTAATCCAGTCAATGATTGTATGTTCACAAAAGTCACATCCCCACTTCTTCTTCTTGTTGGTTGGGAAGCAGATCTATGGGGTGTCAAACTGGGGAAGAGACTGATCAGTGAAGCTTCTCTCCCCAAGGGGGAAGAAAACTCCGAATTTAGGATGGAGCATGATCGCTTCAATGTGTAAGATCTCAATAGATCCAAGAACAATCTCCTTCTAGTTAGGGACACCGCGCCATCCTTCCAGATAAATAGTTGGACAGGTGCAGTATTAATTAAAAGCGGCACAGACCCAAGCAAAACAGAGGCTGCTTATAATTAGAATAAAATGACGAGAATTAAATGAACAAAACTCTGTAATTTATTCTCTCTCTTTGCCCCTCCTGGTGACTAGCTTCACTCTAATGACATTGGAGAATATGTAAATTGATCAGCAGGTGAAAATGCCCTTGACTGGGAAAATTATATGCAATATTACCTTTCCCGTACCATTTGAAAGGCCCTAATCGACTTAATACGCACCAGCCCTGGTTGAGATGACTTGTTCACAAAGCAAAATTAGCCTGCTAATAGGCTTCTCCCCGTGTCCCTCACCCTCCCGGAACACCCCCCCACCCTAATTGTTTCTTTTCATCTGGGTGCAGATGCATCCAGTGTCCACAAAGAGGTTCAAAACACGCACATGCCACTTTCGCTGGGAAGAGTCTGCGGAGGGGAGGGGGAGAAGGATACAATCTGAATTTCAAATGGTTTCTTTCAGACGTCATTGCACAAATGAATAGCAAGCTGGCCAGCAGAGTCAATCATAAGAGTTCTGACAAATATGGGAACACCTTGGGAAGGAAGTGATGTCAAATGCCAGTAGCTTAGCAACCTAGGCCTTCTGCGCTCTGAAGAATGAGGCACAACGAGCACTTTTCACCAGAGAGCACATCAATCAACCGTGATCATAACAGCTGGCAGAATCAGGGATCTTTGCCATGGCGGTTGTATTGTGTTGTTGTGTATCTAAGGGGATACCACAAAGAGTAGGGGTGGGGGTGTCAACCTATTCTCCAAACTACCTGAAGGCAGGACAAGAAGTAACAGATGGAAACTAATCAAGGAGAAAACCAACCAAGAACTAAGGAGAAATTTCCTCGACAGATTAACAATTAATCATTAGCACGACTTCCCTCCAGAAGTTATGGATGCTCCAACCCTAGAAGTTTTTGTTTTGTTTTTTAAAAAAAGATGGACCACCATTTGTCTGAAATGGTGTAGGGTTTCCTACCCAAGTAGGGGGTTGGACTAGGAGACCTCCAAGGTCCCTTCCAACTGTGTTATTCTGTTGGTCATACATTCAATTTCCAGGATTAGCTCGGTGTCCCTGTTAACTTTTGTTCCATTTTGCTGGATATCTATCTTGGTTAATGTATCAGGAAGCAGGAAATCAAATGCTCTGAGTTCCTTACTTAGTTGTCCAATGCAGAGAGACCTAAATTCCTTTTGATCCAGACATTTTGCCACGGGAATTCGTTCCTGGCCAGAAAGGCTCTGATTAAACCTAGACTGTCTGCTTTCTCTTCCCACTGATAATGGGTTTGTTCTATTATTATTTTTTTAACTGAAGCTCCATATCCTCCGTAAACCACAAAAGAAGGGCCGCAACCTACATTTCTATTCATCTGAAATCATTGAGAGCTGGTTGACAATACCTTGGCAAGGAGAGTATAAATTAACTGCTCCTTGTAGCTGTTCTGCCAAAACCAACTTTGGGAGAAGACTCTTTCTCTAAGAAGTCTAGACCAGTGGTTCCCAAACTTGGCAACTTTAAGACTTGTGGACTTCAACTCCCAGAATTCTCCAGCCAGCACAGCTGTGCTGGCTGGAGAATTCTGGGAGTTGAAGTCCGCTGGCTGGAGAATTCTGGGAGTTGAAGTCCGCTGGCTGGAGAATTCTGGGAGTTGAAGTCCACAAGTCTTAAAGTTGCCAAGTTTGGGAACCACTGGTCTAGACCAAGGCACAAAGGACATTTTGCAAGGAGTGAAACCTGGAAGGATGGAGACTAAGTGGAGAACATTTGTGCAGTCACCCCCAGGACACAAAACAGACCTCTAAAGTAGAAGAGGAGGTCAATCCGTTCTCCAAAGTACCTGAGGGCAGGACAAGAAGCAACGGATGGAAACTAATCAAGGAAAGAACCAAGGACTAAGGAGAAATTTCCCAACAGTGAGAACAATTAATCAGTGGGACAACTTGCCTCCAGAAATTGTGGGTGTTCCAACATTGGAAGATTTAAAGAAGAGATTGGTCAACCATTCATTTGAAATGGGGTAGGGTCTCCTGCTTGAGCAGGGGGCTTGGATTAGAAGACTTCCATGGTCCCTTCCAACTCTCTTATTCTGCTAAAATTCAGTGAATTGGTGACTGCACACATACATACACGTTCTGGTTTGGGCATTCGATGCCGAAAAGATTCACCATCGCTGGTTTAGGATATTTTTTTTTAGATCTTTGCCAGTGTCCATTTTAAGAATAACTCTACTTTTTTCTCTCACTGCTTCAAATTCTTGCATTGGCTTCTCTCAAAACCTGCTGGCAAAACTCAAGTCAAAGCATCCATTCATCTGAATAGTATAAGGCTAGACTTAGTGTAAATAACATATCTCACAATTAAGTTGTTCCAGCAGGTGTATGTAAAAGGAACTGACTGGAGGGGTAAAATATTTCATCTTTAGGTGTTGTTGTTTTTTAAAATGTGAGCTTGGAAGATATAGATGGATTTTATTCACGCAACGCTGCTTTTCGGGCTGCTTAGAGTGATTTCCAAGAACAACAAATAGGTATTTTTCAAACCACAGGAAATCATAAGGAAAGACGTTTCGACCAAAAATAATATTTCCCTTTTGGAGAAGAGAAAGCAAAGAGGAAACATTTTCCACCTCCAATTAGAAAGCAATTCCAAACATTTAGACCAGATTTCTACAGTTCCCTACATTGAAACTTTTATTATGGTTACTGCTTTTATTTTATTTTTTTGTTATAAATCCAGTTTTAAAATAAAATGTCACGTTAAATCAAGAGACATAGAAGAATAACATCAATTCCTCCTGAGGAAGTATAATTTCGCATGAACCAACCTCAAAGCTTGATGGGATGTTATTTTTTCATCCTTATCCCACCAGATACCCCAATAAGCCCATTTTCAACCAGCCTTCCCCCCCCACACAAACACACATAAAAAGAATTCCCCAAAACTCCAAACTGATGACAGAATGAACTGGAGACTCAGAACTGAAAATGACCAAATGCATCTATTCCAGTGTTTCTCAACCTTGGCTACTTGAAAATGTCTGGACTTCAACTCCCAGAATTCCCCAGCCAGTTTCTCAAGGTTGAGAAACACTGATCTATTCCAAGATCCCAGTTATTCCAAAAAGATTGATGCCAGTCTTAAATGTAGACGGTTCACATTTTAAGAATGCTTGAAG